ATGGTATGGTATGGTATGGTATGGTATGGTATGGTATGGTATGGTATGGTATGGTATGGTATGGTATGGTATGGCATGGTATAGTGTGGTGTGGTGTGGTGTGGTGTGGTGTGGTGTGGTGTGGTGTGGTGTGGTGTGGTGTGGTGTGGTATGGTATGGCATGGTATGATATGGTGGGTGTGGTATGGTATGGTGGTATGGTATGATATAGTAGGGTATGGTATAATTTATTTGTCTTATGTTCAGGTGTGATAATAATTATGCTTTAATATGATATCGTAAGATATCATGTTATAGTATGATGATATGAAAAATATAAGACGATCTGTAAAGTACACGACCATGTGTGAAATGTTCAATATGGCTGATATTTTATTTCGTGTTACTGGATAGTGTGGATTGCTGAATGACATCGAACTATGAGCTCAGCCCGCACTGTATGCAGTGAAATGACAGCTGTTAGCGGTGACGTAAAATAAATCATGGTTAGTTATTGTTGTATGAGATTATTGATATGTCAGCTACGGTATGATGATTTTTTTTCTCTCTTTTCTAAGTACTGTTGTTCCCGCTTCCGTTCCGGACATTGGGAATTGTTTGTAAGTGAGACAACTTCCTGGGGTGTTTGTCCGTAGCCTATACCCTGGTGCAGGGTGAGAAAGGCAATGATGATGATGATGATGATGATGAGACAACTTCCTGGGCCCTCAGCATATTGTGGTAGGGTGGCCAGTTCCTTTCCACGCTGCCTTTACTTCCCCAACTCGAAGTTAAGTTCCCATTACTACTAGGAGGGCCGGAGGGGGCGAAAAAATATGTGTCTGAACCGAGGCTCGAACCCGGACCTTCCGCTTCGGAGACGAGCACACTAACCGCTCCGTCACCGCTCGTCACCGCACCCTCTTTTTACCCAACGAAAATGATAAAAAGGTAAAGGTTCAACACCCTTATAAACATTTTAAGGCTATTTACGAGGCGGGACCTCCGAGTTTAACGCCCATCTCCGAAAGGACCGAAACGAATATAGAACATTCGTGTAAAGTGCCCCCCTTCTCAAGGACACAACGTCGGACCGAGTTGAGGCCCGAACCCCCAAAGCGTAGTCTCACGATTACGGGTCGGGTAGCCTAAACTGTTCCCTTTACGAAGGGGTAAATGTCTGACCCCTACGAGCAAGGGTTCCCTAAAACCTTTCTTCCCTGAGAAGGTTCACCTTGTCGATGGTTTAGGAAACAATTATTAAACGCTACGAAAGCGACGATACTATATTTGAAGAGACTATTACATCCTAGTATCTTGCTACACGATCTTATTTAACTCGCTTGGATACATAACACAACTATTTGGTTTTTAAAAGATATTTATTACAGTAACTTGGAATTCAAGAAATAATTTCTTTTGGATAAAAAATGCTATGAATGATATAAATATGTATTTGTTTTGCTCCTCGATGTAAAAGCCATCAGACAGCACGTCAACCCGGTGATTTCTCTCAGTAAATTATAAAGAAAAATAAAAAACAACCTCTGGTCTTTTCTATCATGTTGTTGTACGGATAAAAAATAAGATGAGGTAAGCAGAGTTTCCATCTGCTCTCGCGGCATGCGTCATCCCAGACTGGCCAACATTTTGTGGCAGGAAGTGACATGTTAGAGAACACTGTTGCTCTCAAATTCGGAACAACAGTTGGAAAGAATTTGCACCAGTGTAGACAGAAACATAATATGTGAGGCATCGTGGTGAAATCAGGCGCTCGTAAAATAATGAAATCGAAGAAACTGGCATTTTTCTGTCCGTTTGGCAATTTTTATCGAATA